AGTGATCACAGACTTAGCATCACCAATAATAGGACAAGTACACATCTGTGTTCCTGATGTGATGCCTGTGTAATATGTCAACCTGACTCTAACCATGAAGGGTGAGAGATTATCAGGTAAACCCACATAAGTCATTTTTCTCCAGAATACCTGGTCTGTACTTTGAGATATCAGCGTCATGAAACATACTAGAAAAAAAAAATTCTATGTTACATGAGGATAAAAAAGGAAAAAAAAGGGAAACGCAGTGTATGAGCCTTTATTCGAGAGCAGAAGATCTATAAAGGACATAACTGGGATAACGGGACATTTGAAGATGGACTCTGTACTAGATAACCATATCATACCTGTGTGAACTTGTGTGAATGTGGTTATGTAGATAGTCGTAAGAGACAGATACTGCTGGAGCATTTGAAGTATGAAGTTGAAGTGTGCAGTGACCATCTTCTCCTTCAGCTTTTTATTAGAGAAAATCTGAAGCATGACAGGGTTTTTAAAAAAATAAACTGTACAATAGTTGTCAACATTTGATGGTGGCCACGATTATATAAAATTAAAAGTCCAAGCTTGGATTCATTTTGTGCTTGTCAAGAGTCTGCAGTCATGTGGCTTTCTTTTGCACACTCTTCATCCCAGGTCCACTCGCAAGGCAGTGTTCTAGTAAGGTACATTTCTGGTTTTCTCTTTTTCTAGATTACCACCCATAGTTCGAGGAGGAGCCATCGACAGATACTGGCCCACCGCTGATGGGCGCCTGGTTGAATATGACATAGATGAAGTGGTGTATGACGAAGATTCGCCTTATCAAAATATAAAAATTCTACACTCAAAACAGTTTGGAAATATTCTCATCCTCAGTGGGGATGTTAGTAAGTATTCCATCCCTGCCCCGATTGCATGACAGAGTGGTGATGTGTTGCATGATGGTGTTTTCCTGACAGTTACTGCTGTTGTGGATTTGTTCAAGTTTGTTTTTGACACTGCTGGTTTTTGAGATGCACATTGATGTCATATTAACCTGGGGATTGTCTCGGCTTTCAGATAAACTTTGTCTTGACATCGCTTCCTTAGTGATGATTATTGGGATTGTATTTCAAAAGAAAATACATTTGGTTATTTAAAAAACAAAAACCAGCTGGGCACAGTCGTTCACATCTGTAATCCCAACACTTTGGGAAGCTGAGGCGGGCGGATCACGAGCAGGAGATTGAGACCATCCTGGCTAACATGGTGAAACCCTGTCTCTACTAAAATATAAAAAATTAGCCGGGCGTGGTGGAGCGCACCTGTAGTCCCAGCTACTCAGGAGGCCGAGGCAGGGGAATTGCTTGAACCCAGGAGTCGGAGGTTGCAGTGAGCAGAGATCGTGCCACTGTACTTCAGTCTGGCGACAGAGCAAGACTCCATCTCAAAAGAAACCCAGAAAACAAAAAACCTTTTTTTTTCCCAGAGAAATTCAAACCTAAGTGGTGCGATGAACCCACATGTACTCACCATCGAGCGTGAATAATTATCAGCTCCTAGCTAGTCTTCTTTTACGTAAACCCCAGTCCACTTTGTCCCTCTCATATTATTTTGAAGCAGCTCACAGACATCATTATTACATTTGTAAAGATGTAATTGCTTTTAATTACTTAGTATATTGGCACATTTCCAAGGCTGGATTTTCTTTCCACTGACTAATGTCCATTTGTATTAGGTGTCAAATGATGAGCATTGATGGAAAAAGTCCTCAATGGGAAAAAAAGCTTATATATTGTTCACAGTTTTTAAAGATTGAAAAATTTACATTTTGGGCTAGATGCCAGCACTTTCTAGTGTGGTAAGGCCAAGTGGTTTGTGTGTTTAGGTAGACTCAGCATTTGGATTTCTGTTTCTCTTCCCTAGATTTGGCAGAGAGTGATTTGGCATATACCCGGGCCATCATGGGCAGCGGCAAAGAAGATTACACTGGCAAAGATGTACTCATTCTGGGAGGCGGAGATGGGGGCATATTGTGTGAAATAGTCAAACTAAAACCAAAGATGGTCACTATGGTAGAGATATCCTTTGTCAAATAAGAGAGCAAGTTCAGTGGGCTTCTTTTGTTTCCTTCCTTCCTTTAGGGTCTCAACTCAAATTAATGTTACCACGTACTAGAGGCAAATGTATTACCTAGATTGCCTTGAACAGGCAACTTAGTAACAGGCTCACGCCTGTAATCCTAGTACTTTGGGAGGCCGAGGTGGGTGGATCACCTGAGGTCAGGAGTTCGAGACCAACCTGACCAACATGGAGAAACCCCGTCTCTACTAAAAAATAGAAAATTAGCCAGGTGTGGTGGCGGGCACCCGTAATCCCAACTACTCGGGAGGCTGAGACAGGAGAATCGCTTGAATCTGAGGTGGCGGAAGTTGCAGTGAGCCAAGATTGTGCCACTTCACTCCAGCCTGGGCGACAGAGTGAGACTCCATCTCAAAAAAACAAATAATCTACCTAGTTGAGGATTAAAGAGCAAGTGACTTTGATACTGTGTCTGCTGCTCAGCAGTTTCCGAAATGGCTTCCATAAAGCCATCTCATAAGGAGAAAAGAAGACTCAGTTCGAGTGTCCTTGGTGTGAAAATAAAATCACTGCCTTATTCATCGTTTTGTTAAATTTGTAATACCTGAATTAGTGTTTGTAAAACCTTTGTTTGTCTTAACCCCTTCTTTAAAGTATATTACTCTTTCAGAATTCTTTGACATACCCAAATTCTCCTTAACCTGTTTCGGACATTGACCAAATGGTGATCGATGGATGTAAGAAATATATGCGAAAAACGTGTGGTGATGTCTTAGACAATCTTAAAGGAGACTGCTATCAGGTAATTTTGTTTTCTGGATAATGTAATTTTAAGTCAACTGATAATATAATTGATTTAAGTTGATCAGAATTATAATACGTCAAAATTGTGCCTTCTTAAAACAGCTTTTAATATAATTGGTTGAGAAGATAAATACATCACCTGTCTCTTCGTGCGAGTTACACGTATATTTGATTCAGGGTGCATGTGTACCCATGATGGGAAAGCACCAACTCCAGATTCTCCGAATTGAATAAAATGAATTCTTATAGAAGATGTCATGTGACCAGGCGTGGTGGTTCACACCTGTAGTCCCAGCACTTTAGGAGGCTGAGGTGTGCAGATCACTTGAGCCCAGGAGTTCAAAACCAGCTTGGGCAACATGGCAAAACCCCATCTCTACAGAAAAAATTAGCTGTGTGGTGGTGTGTACCTATAGTCCCAGCTACTCTTGAGGCTGAGTGGGGAGGATCACTTGAGCCAGGAAGGTTGAGGCTGCAGTGAATCATTATTGCGCCACTGCACTCCAGCCTGTATGACAGAGAGACCTGTCTCAAGAAAGGGAAAAAAAGAAAAAACAGATGTCATGTACCTTTTTATCTCTCTATTCTGAATGATCTCTTTGAGCCTGGGTCTTTCAGAGGGAATTCAAGTGTCTAATTGGTAGATCTAGATGATTAAAATGTTTGAGGTAGGAACAGTTGCTTCTTTTTTGTTCTAAATTCTACTGTATTTAAAAGGTGACTCATGGTTTATAGGATACCTTTTGTGCTGCATTTTGAGGATGCATATGTTCACTGGCCATAAATACAGTACTAGTTAGGGCAAGATATCCAAGCAAATAACATATTTTAACAGGATTTCTTTTTTCTTTTTTGACGTGATCTCAGCTCACTGCAACCTCTGCCTCCCAGTTCAAGTGATCCTCCCAACTCGGCCTCCTAAGTAGCTGGGACCACAGACACATGCCACCACACCTGGCTAATTTTTTTGTGTTTTTGGTAGAGGTGGGGTTTTGCCATGTTGCACAGGCTGGTCTCAAATGCCTGAGCTCAAGCAGTCTACCCACTTTAGCCTCCCAAATTACTGGGATTATAGGCGTGAGCTACTGCTCCTGGCCAAAGGGATCTTAAATGTATGTCTCCAGACTTATAAGCAATTTAGACAAGTTCTTTAATATGTAAATTACACCCCACCCCCCATCTTACCTAAATTTATTTGCATGGCACACAGATGTTACTTTTTAAGTTGAGAAAGGAAGTATATCCACATCAAATGCAATTGTGATTGTATTGTGGACAAAACAGGAAGATATAATTAAGCTTATACTATTTGAAAGCTTAAAAGAGGAGGGAGAATTAGGTTCTTCTGAGCTATGGCAGAATTATTTCACAATGGGCTCAAAGTTATTGTTTACCAATAATGGGCCAGACCCTCTGCCTGCAGTGTTTAATCCTCACGCCTATACCCAGTGGGCAATATTTCTATTACATGGATGAAGAGCTTAGGGAGTGTAAAAGGAATTTATTCAAGGTTATAGGATAACTTAGAGGAATGTTAGACTCCTATCTCCATATATATCTTTTTTTAAATTTTCTTATATACTTTACATAAATTTAAGTAAAAAAAAAAAAAAAAAAAAAAAAACAGCAGCACTGCAAACCCTAAACAGCAATACAGTAGAGTTGTTGACTTTTGTAACTAGAGGCCAAATATAAGTGGGAAGATTTGCTAATGGCCTCTGAAAAGAAGCTCTTGGCCTGAGAGCTGACCCAAAAACAGAGCACCAAAGGCATATGGTGTCCAGGTCATTTGGACCCTTGAGGCAAGGGAAAAGTAGTGTTCTTATTTAAAGCAGAACTTGGGGAAAGTTGGTACCTGTGCATCCTCTTTCCTCATCTACCTTCTCTCTGGAACAGTACAATCACCAAGAGGAACCTAGAATATTCCTGAGGCTAAGAGTTATCTTAAAGATAGGTGCGTGGAAAAAGTCAGGCACGGTGGCTCATGCCTGTAAATCCCAGCACTTTGGGAGGCAGAAGCGGGTGGATTACCTGATGCCAGAAGTTCTGGACCAGCCTGGCCAACATGGTGAAACCCTGTCTCTACTAAAAAATACAAAAGTTAGCGGGGCACAGTGGTGGGCACCTGTAATCCCAGCTACTCGGAAGGCTGTGACAGGAGAATTGTTTGAACCCAGGAGGTGGAGGCTGCAGTGAGCTGAGATTGTGCCACTGCGTTCCAGCCTGGGTGACCAAAGCGAAACTCTGTCTCAAAACAAAAAAGATAGGCGGGTAGGGTTCTTTTGCCTATGGGGTTGGGTGAGAAGAGAGATCAGTCAGCTGCCACCTTCCCTTCCTGGTTGGGAAGCCCCTTGGCCATTAAATGCTACTGTAAATTATATCTTATGAATAGTGCAATAAGCACGTGGGTGCAGGTATATCTTTGATATACTAATTTCCTTTCCTTTGAATAAATACCTAGTAGTGGGATTGCTTGATCCTATGGTAGTTCTATTTTTAGTTTTTCGAGAAACTTCCATACTGTTTTCCATGATGGCCGTATTGACTTACATTCCCACCAACAGTGTCTAAGAGTTACCTTTTCTCTGCATCCATGTAAAGCTTTGTTTTTTGTTTTTTTTTTTTTTGAGACGGAGTTTCACTCATGTTACCCAGGCTGGAGTGTAATGGCGCAATCTCGGCGCACCGCAACCTCCGCCTCCTGGGTTCAGGCAATTCTCCTGCCTCAGCGTCCTGAGTAGCTGGGATTACAGGCACGCACCACCATGCCCAGCTAATTTTTTGTATTTTTAGTAGAGACGGGGTTTCACCGTGTTGACCAGGATGGTCTCGATCTCTTGACCTCCTGATCCACCCGCCTTGGCCTCCCAAAGTGCTGGGATTACTGGCTTGAGCCACCGCGCCCGGCCAAGCTTTGTTATTTTTTTGTCTTTTTAGTAATAGCCATTCTTACTGGGGTGAGATGATGTCTCATGGTGGTTTTGAGTTGCATTTCCCTGGTGATTAGTAATGTTGAACATTTTTTTCACATGCCTATTGGCAATATGTATGTCTTTGGAGAAATGTTTATTCTATTTTTTTGCTCCCCTCTGCCCCTTTTTAAAAAATGAAGTCTCCTACTTAAATTATTTAGAGATGGGGAGGTGGTCTCACCATGTTGTCCAGGCTATCCTCGAATTCCTGGGCTCAAGCAGTCCTCCCACCTCAGCCTCTTGAGCAGCTGGGACAACAGGCATGCATCACCATACTTGGCTCCTTTGCCTACATTTTCATAGGATGGTGTCTTTTTTTTTTTTTTTTTTTTTTGAGACAGAGTTTCACTCTTGTTCCCAGGCTGGAGTGCAATGGTGTGATCTTGGCTCACTGCAACCTCTGCCTCCCGGGTTCAAGCAATTGTCCTGCCTCAGCCTCCTAAGTAGCTGGGATTACAGGCACCTGCCACCATGCCCAGCTAATTTTTATATTTTTAGTAGAGATGGGGTTTCACCACCTTGGCCAGGTTGGTCTCGAACTCCTGACCTCAGGTGATCCGCCCACCACAGCCTCCCAAAGTGCTGGCATTACAGGCATGAGCCATCGCGCCCGGCTGATTTTTTTTTTTTTTCCTTTTGCTGTAAGTTCTTTGTATATTCTGAATACTAGTCTCTTGTCAGACGAATAGTTTACAAATCATCGTCCCTTCATGTACATGGGAAAATGTATAAGTTTGTGCATACTCAAGTCCCACAGTTGGCCCTTGGAACCCACCTATGTGAAAAGTTTCTCTGTATATGGGTTTCACATTCCGAGAATAATGTATTTTCCATCCTTTTGGTAAAAACAAAAAAAAATCCGCACATTAATGGGCCCTCTCAGTTTAAACCCATGTTGTTCAAGGGTAAACTATCTTTCCCCATCTGTAGATTGTCTCCTCTGATTTTTTTCCTTTGCTGTGCAGAAGCCCTTCAATTTAATGTAGTCCCGTTTTGTCTTTTTTGGTTTTTTTTTTTTTTTTTGCCTATGCTTTCAAAGTCTGACCCATAAAATCTTTGTGGAGCTCAACATCCTGAAGCATTTCATTTCCTTTTAGTAGTTTTGGATCTTCCATTTAAGTTTTTAATCCTTATATGTGATGACAGATGGGGATCTAGTTACTTCTGCGTAGGGATATCCAGTTTTCCCAGCACCATTTGAGGAGCAGGGTCCAGGTTGTCTACCCATGGACCTAGAGGTTCCTTGGCAATTTCAGTAGTCTGTCTTCTGACTCTGCAGTAATGGGCAACCCCAAGGTCAAGGCTTATGGCAAGGAGGCGCCGATCCCCTTCAGAAACACTTGTCATGCACATGGATGACTTTTCCTAAGCTGAGTGAGCTGCACTGTGACAAACGACATGTGGCTCCTGAGAATTTCCTGCTCCTAAACAGCACAATACTGAGTACTTTGACAACCCACATCAGCAAGGACACCCCACAATGCAGGCTTCCTGCCGGAAGCTGTGGCTAATGCTCTGACGTGCAAGTACCACTGAGTTCCCTGTCCACTCGCTTGGTGCCTACTGGTTGGCCCTGTGTCTGAATAATTCAACTCCTTGAGGAAATGGGGCCCGGGCTGGGCGTGGTAGCTCACGCCTGTAATCCCAGCACTTTGGGAGGCCACAGTGGGCGGATCAATTGAGGTCAGGAGTTTAAGACCAGCCTGAGCAACATGGAGAAACCCATCTCTACTAAAAATGCAAAATTAGCTGGGTGTGGTGGTGCATGACTGTAATCCCAGCTACTTGGCCATTGCACTCCAGCCTGGCCAACAAGAGCAAAACTCTGTCTCAAAAGGAACAAAAAAAGATATGGGGCTTAAATGGGTTGGGGGAGTGTCCTGTCAGCCGACTTAACAATAAAAAAATTCTGCTCTGTAAGAAAAAGAGAAATGCTACCTTTAAAAAGATACCAAGTCTTTGCAGCTGTTTATTTGAAAAACACAGTTACTGTTTAATATTTTAAAAAAATGTTCTAAAGCCCCCTGTTACTTTTATAATGATAGAATACCTTAAAAGTAAGGTCAGGTGTGGTGTCTCAGCCTGTAATCCCAGCAATTTGGGATGCCAAGGCGGGTGGATCACTTGAGGTCAGGAGTTTGAGACCAGACTGGCCAATGTGGTGAAACCCTGTCTTTACTTAAAATAGAAAAATTAGCTGGGTGTGATGGTGGGCATCTGTAATCCTGTCTACTCTGGAGGCTGAGGCAGGAGAATTGCTAGAACCCGGGAGGCGGAGGTTACAGTGAGCTGAGATCATGCCACTGCACTCCAGCCCGGGCCACAGAGTGAGACTGTCACAGGAAAAAAAAAAAGAAAAAAAAAAACAAAAAACCTTAATAGGAAAATCAAGTAGTACATAAAACTAAAGATTGCTTTTACATATGTACAAAATTTCCAAGTAAAATAATAAGCGAAATCTGGCAACTTAAAGAATTCTATATTATGCTCAAGTAGGATTTACTTAGAAGTGTAAAGATTTGAATTTTAAGAAATCTGTCAAGTTAATTCACTACATGAATAATTTAAAGGAGGAAAATAACAGATGACAAAGAATTTGAGAATATTTAGCAGTCATTTTTGATACAAACTCTTGCAGTATACCCATGTAAAATTAGCCAGGCGTGGTGGCATATGCCAGTAATCCCAGCTACACGGGAGGCTAAGGCAGGAGAATCGCTTGAACTCAGGAGGTGGAGGTTGCAGGTGAGCAGGGATCCAGCCATTGCACTCCTGCCTGGGTGACAGAGTGAGACTCTTGTCTCAAAATAAATAAATATATATGTGTGTATATATCTATATACACACACACACAAACACACACATATACATATATATATATTTCCATGTAACAAATCTGTACATGTACTCCCTGAATCTAAAATAAAAGTCTAAAAAAAAACTTGAATAAAATAAAATTGTAATAGCTGTGAAACTACCTGAACATAATAGAAACTTAGGTTATGGTAAATAGAAAAATAGAAAATATAATAGATAGCAAAAGCCATTTCCACTGAAAATAGGAACAAAATGAGGATGCCTATTATCTTTTTCAACATTGTTTTTTGAGGCAGCTGAGATAGTAAAGTAGAAAGATGAAAACACTATAAATAATCTATTTACAGATGATATGAATACTAGAAAATCCAGGAAACATATATAGAAAATCATTTGAATTAATGAGAATTTGGTAAAGTGGATAAAGCCAGCCTAGATATTTTTCTCTATACTAAATGCTAAACCGTTTAAATAGGATTTCTTTCCCACCCATTTACTTTCAAAGTAATCAAGTGTTAAATTCCTAGGAATATGTTTAACAAGAATGGTATTGTGAGACTGGTATGAATTATGTTAAGATCTTATTGAAAGATGTCAAAGTCTGAATATGTGGAGAGGCATGCTATATTTCTTGTATTGAAAGAACAGAACAGGCTGGGTGTGGTGGCTCAAACCTGTAATCCCAGCACTTTGGAAGGCCACGATGGGCAGATCATTGGAAGTCAGTAGTTAGAGACCAGCCTGGTCAACATGGTGAAATACTGTCTCTACTAAAAATACAAAAATTAGACGTGGTGGTAGGTGCCTGTAGTCCTAGCTACTCTGGAGGCTGAGGCAGGAGAATTGCTTGAACCTGGGAGGCGGAGGTTATAGTTAGCTGAGATTGCACCACTGCATTCCAGCCTGGGTGACAGAGCAAGACTCCCAAGGAGTGGGGAGGGGTTTAAAATTAGACCAACTGATTTTAAAGTTTATTTGTAAAAATATCTAAGAATAGGCCGGGTGCAGTGGCTCACCCCTGTAATCAGCATTTTGGGAGGCTGAGGTGGGCAGATCACAAGGTCAGGAATTTGAGACCAGCCTGGCCAACATGGTGAAACCTTGTCTTTACTAAAAATTCAAAAATTAGCTGGGCGTGGTGGTGCAAGTCTGTAGTCCCAACTACTCAGGAGGCTGAGGCAGGAGAATCACTTGAACCTGGGAGGCGGAGGTTTCAGTTAGCCGAGATTGTGCCACTGCACGGCAGAGTGAGACTCCATCTCCAAAAAAAAAAAAGAAAATCTAAGAATAGCCAAGAAAACTTAAAAAAAGAGTCATAGTGTGAAGCAAAATACATCCTATTCGTTGTTAATATACTGTAAGGAACAGTAATCAAATAGGAAGTATGAAAGGAATACCCAAGGAGCTGGGAATGTCACAGGAACTTGAACATGTCTGAGTATGTATTCCTACACACTGCTAATATGGTCTAAGATGCATTTCCGTTGACTTGGGAAAAGGTTTAGTTGAGTTAATGTGCGATGCTGATATAATGAGTTATCCACCTGCATGAGAACCAAGTTAGCTAACCATAGAAGTAGGAATTTTGATGACTTAGGCTCTGAGTGTAAAAACTAATGCATTTAAGACAATTTAGAGTACTTAACCTTGGAGTTGGGAAATCTCTTAAAGATAGGACACTCAAACTGTTTATGGTTTTATTTCATCATTACCAAGCCACTGTCAGACTGGAAGAAAGACTGGTAACAAACATGACTGGGAGTTGATCCTCTGAATAATGCAAAGAGTCCCTGCAGCTTAGAAATGAAGTTAGCTAAATTAAAGGTATAAAGGATATGAACTGGTACTTCTCAGAAGACGGAAGTCAAAGAATCTCTAAAAAGTACCACAAGATGGTCACCCATGTCAGTGTCCTAGGAAGTTCTTGTGAAAACGTCAGCAACAGACTTGGCAAAATTTACTAGAGGGGTGATATCCCATGCTGGGGAGGACGTGAGGAGGAGACAGGTGCCCATGTGCATTGCTGGTTGGAGTGTGAATTGCTGTCAAAACCAAAACACGTGGCTTCTACCCTGTGTTTGAGCACCCAGCCCACAGTTATAAAGGTGTCACTACAAGGTTTATTATAGCTGTGCTTGTAGTGGCCAAGGCTTGGCAATGATGACAGAAATAACGTTTTTAGTGGAATGCTATATTTTTTTAAATATGTGTTATCATTACCTGGAGAGATGTTGGGTGAAAATGTTCAAGTTGTGAATGATGTGTGTGATCCAAATTTTACAAAAGAGAACATAACGTTTGTGTTTGTGTGTAAGTATTTGTAAGAATCTGTGTGAACATATGGAAATAATGAGATTATCAAACAGGATTAATATGTGGATTGAAGGCAGCTGTGGTGTTAGTACCTCCTGTATCTTTCCATAGTTGGATGTGTATAATGCATTAAGTGAGGCAAGTTTTAAAATAGGGCAAAAAAATCCCAGTTTTTTAATATTATAACTTTGAGACTATAAGAAGAAGCATGAGGAATAACATGGGATAGGTTATCTTAGGGAATTGTGGTGAACTTTTTTTTTTGAGACAAGGTCTCGCTCTGTCACTCAGGCTGGAGCACAGTGGTATGACAATCATGGCTCACTGCAGCCTCAAACCCCCAGGCTCAAGCAATCCTTGCACCTCAGCTTCCTCAGTAGCTGGGACTACAGGCACATACCACTAGGCCCAGCTGATTTTTGTATTTTTTCTAGAGATGGGCTTTCACCATGTTGCTCAAGCTGGTCTTGAACTCCTGGGCTCAAGTATTCCACGCACCTCAACTTCCCAAACTACTGGGATTACAGGTGTTGGACTGCTGCACCTGGCCTGGCAAACTCTTAAACTATTGATTTCTGACTATTGTATGTGATTTTTCTTTTACTTGAATGTGGTTTTTTTGGACTTAGAAAACTAAAAGATAACAGAAACTCCCGTTTAGTTCAGAGTGTTGCTTATATACAGATGTGTCCCCAGCATACAGCCTCAGTACTTCAAAGATACGGCAGACCTCAAACTTCCTTCCTGTATTAACTGTGTATGATCTGTGTAGGAATTCCAGCTGGAGTCTTTATTGACTCTGATGGTAGAAGCTGTTATATATAGCTTTATTAACAGTAGCCCAAGCGTTAGAGAAAATTGAGAAACAACATGTTAATAGTTTGAGTAAGATAAAAATAAATCCATAAACCATGAAGTCATTTCAGTGCTTAGTGTAAAAGAAAAATCAGGCTGGGTATGGTGGCTCATGCCTGTAATCCCAGCACTATGAGAGGCTGAGACAGGCAGATTGCTTGATCCCAGGAGTTCAAGGCCAGCGTGGGCAACATAGTGAGATCTTGTCCCTACAGAAAGTTTTAAAAAATAGTTTATTAATTAAAAAAAAAAGAAAAATTAAAAGAAGATGATACACATAGCGGTAGGAGAGGCAGTACCAGATTAGAGATGAAAGTATGAAGTTGGCTTCCAGGTATACTTCGTGGATCTGTTGCTTATTGGGAGCCCATGGCTGAGCTGGATAACACCTCAAGTTTGTTTCTGCATTGGTAAAATGGGGATGATAATAGTACCTCTAGGGTTGTTGCTTCATTGAAATGAGAAGGCATATAAAGCATATATGGTAAGCACTTAATTTTTGCTATTAACAGACATAGATGAAAGTTTTTTGGTTCCTGTAGCAGATGCTGTGGGTATAAACCCCCACTTGGCATTTTTTTCTCCTTCCTTTACTATTGTTCTTTGTTTTAACGACATCCACATGTTGATTCACTCATCTATTCCGGTTCTTTTTGGAAGGTTCTAATAGAAGACTGTATTCCGGTACTGAAGAGGTACGCCAAAGAAGGGAGAGAATTTGATTATGTGATTAATGATTTGACAGCTGTTCCAATCTCCACATCTCCAGAAGAAGGTAGATTTATATTTTTTTAAAACCAAGATATCTGTCATGGAAATGTTTTTCTTGGCACCATGTGAGAGTGAAAGGATCTTCAAGATTGTCTCGTTCTCTCACATTTATAAAAAGGCAGTTAAATTAACATCCATGGTGGAAAGATGACTGGATTTGGCTTCAGTTCCTGTTCTGCCACTAAATGAGTGAACTAACTCAGTCATTTGAAAGAAAAATGAAGTAAAATGACTCATTACATCATTGAGACAGTAAATCATTTGATAATATATTTACTTATGTGATTTCCGGCCTGTATTGGGAGGAACTGGTCACTTACCTAAGCAACAGCAGAGATAATTCCTTTTCTCAAACCTTATGCTCCAAATCACAGCTAGTTCATGTTTTTTCTATAAACTCAAGTTCCTGCTGAGTTTGCAGACTCTTTGAATCTCTCTCAAGATGTTGCTGCTTTCCCCTTACTTAAAGCAGCTTTCTTTCAGGTTTCAGCCACTGCCTTTGTGTCGAATCTATTGGTATCATGAGAGCAGTGCTAAGTGGATGCACATTGATTTTGGCATCCAAAATCAGTTACATTATTGTTCATGAACAAACTCTGAATAGTGCGTCTTACACCCGTGGCTCTTTTTCTTCTTCTTTTGGTATTGAGTATTTGAATATTTTACTTCAGATGTTGTTGATACATACAAACCCATATTTATGAAACTTGTTTTTTTAAACATTCAGATTCCACATGGGAGTTTCTCAGACTGATTCTTGACCTCTCAATGAAAGTATTGAAACAGGATGGGAAATATTTTACACAGGTAGGCTGCTGAACAGTTTTTTCTTCAGAACTCTCTAAGATTTGCATATTTTGAAATCTGAATGCACACTTTTGAAATGTGTATCTATTAAGGATAGTGTGGCATCATCGGATTATGTTCTTTCAAGCAGTAAGCTTCTAAGTTGACCTGTCATCTGTTGGGAATGAATGAGTTATCAGCCCTGGTCTTTTGCTGTGCTATGAGCTGCTGCCACCAGATGGAGACACAGACTGATTATACCTACCCCCTCCCGCCCACCCCCCCCCCCCCCCC